CGCGCTGCCACGGTTGCCGCGAACCTCTTCGCAGAAAAATCACGCAGGAAAATTAAGTACACGCAGTGCAAAGAGGAAACAATCACGCCTATAGCGCAATTGTTAAAAATCTAGAAATCGCCTGGGAACCGGAGAAAGTCGAGAAATGTTCTAATCTGTCTACGTCATAATTTAATAAGATGTCAGTCGCATGGTTATCAGTGAATTTTTTAATTTGCAGATAGAAAAATATCATATGCGAATGACTTGTGACATTTTGTGTATCTTTCTACTAACATAGAGTTTATGTAAAACTCTCTTTCTAAAACTGAAAACATTCTTTAATAACTTTACTGTAAATGGTGTAATATGTGAATTTCTATCTCTTTTTTAATTATTTTAAAACGCACGTTTATAAACTAGTCACTAAAGAAACATTTTAACTTGAAAAATGTAATCAAGTATTTCGATTCTTCAACAACAAAAGAAACTTTCAATAGTCGTTTGGTATGAACGTCGACATCGGTGACGAAACGGTTGCCACTGGCAGGGCGCCGAGTGTCTGACAGATATACATCGTCATATATCTTGATTTCAATTTTCATATTGATAATATAAATTATAAATATGAAAAGGTTATTAGATGAAAAGGATTCTTTCGTGATAAGTCATTAAATTGTTTCGTTAAAGTGCCTCGCGATTTGTATCTGTCAATTACTTCCGATCAATCAAATGATTCTCAAATGTATATGTATGTGTATAGAGAAGTGATACGTTAGAAGATAAATAGATTGAAATATTTTATTGTACATATACTAAAAGTTGTAGTAGTTTTATCGAGGATTTATGATATAGTAATTTAAAGAATAGAGAAGACACATTGAACACACTAATAATGAAACGAACGAAATGAAGTAGAATAATAATAGAAATAATGATGATAAATAAGGATGTAAATAAATGGTAAATAACGAAGACAAGTGGGAAGAATTTAACCCTTTGAAGACCGCAGTTTTCTAATGAAATAATTTATGGAAGACCTTGCTTTCTAAAAGTTTCTTGGGTCACTGAATTCGATTCCGATCTCAAAAGTCTAAAATTCAGCTTTCTAAAAAATAATTTAATTATTACACATGAAACTTAGTTTTAGGAGATTCTTGACACTCTGAGTTTGAATTAGCCTGAAAATATCACGAATTTCAAAAGTGGTAACCTATGCGAAAGAGACTCTAGTGTCAGAGAGCTCATAATCATAGTTTGAAAGTCAGTTTGGAAAGCAGTACTAACTATTTCCGTAACACCGATGAGCTTCAAATAAAGCGAAACTGAGAACTTGATGTTATACGAGTATATATATACATATTATAGCTGTATATATACTTTACTGTTAAAAACTACCTAAAACCAAGAGTTTCATGATCAAATTATTTTTTTGATGTCCGCCATATCGAATTTGAATAGAGCATTATCAAATGATCCCATAAATCAAGTTTTGTAACAATTAAAAGCAAGCAGTTTATAAAATGAAAGAGGGTGACCCCAAATGGAATATCTGATTCAGAAAACAAACACCTGACGACGTACTTAGGATTATGCGCCACAGTTGCACTCCGTTCACTCCGTGAGCGCGTCCATAGATATGTACATCCACTTTGGGTTCTTAACTTTCGCTATTAAGCGATTTCGCTGTAACCGGTACTTGTGAGTAAAGTTTGTAAAGCGCGGCGAGGGAGAACCCGCCAGACTGCGGTGTTTATTGCGCGGAAAAAGAGCGGGAAGCTGCAGCAGCAGCGTTTCGTGGCGTGCGCGTTTACATCTTCACTGAATTAAATCGGCCGATTTCCGTATTCGCGAATGATAAACTACCTGCGCGCGCGAGTGATACAAAGTTTGTTTTTTTCCTCTTCTTTTATATATATATATTTAATGCGGCAATGTATCCTGTGATCGATGCGCAACGTGTTTTATGCTCGGCATTTACACGCTCGAGAACAGCTATATCGGATGTAACCGCGTGACGCGTGATTATTACAGGAAAGTGTGTTAACTGCAGGCTCGGCAAAAAAATGATTTAACATTGTTCCCTCGTCGTTTTTGTAATATACACATAATCTTGATAATAATATACTTCATTCCAAATAGATATTGCGTATATTATTCCCATATGTTTAACATTATTATTATTATTTGCATTACTATAAATTATATAAATTGTTATTACGTCTGTTATATATTCATTCTATATTCCTGTATATTTACATTAAATTATTATTACAGATTTGTATTATAAATAGTAATTATGGATTTTGCAATTTATAAACATCGAGGATGTTATTTCAAACTCGTCGCAAATAAATTCATCTCACGGGGCTTATATGAAATATGAATAGAAAGCGTTAAGCTCGTAAACATATCAATCGATATTTCCTGACAAGACCGTCGTTACATCTTTAATGAAAATGACTTGATGCAAGTTGGCAAATACAGTTTATCGCTTAACGGACCTCTAGCGCTTCCGGCGAAAAAAAAAGTTTCGAAGGTTCCGGTAACAACCGACGTTATAGCCGTAAAACGATGAAATCAATGCGTAACGACCGTGCCGACGCTATATTTAGCCGGCGAGAGTACAGGTAATTCCTATAACCGTCTCGGCGCATTGACAGGTGCAATTTATCTGAAGCCTGAATGCGCGCTGTACGCGAGCCTCTGTTTTAAAACGCTCGAAAACTGATTATTCGCGCTTCGACATCGCTTCCCTCCAATTCGCGATACAGTAACCTCGCGCAGACTGCTACGTAATTGGCCCGAATGATATAAAGCGGCGTCAAAGTATAAAGAATCGAGATATATCCGCTTGATCTCCCAGTTGTCAATTTTCCACCATTCAGAATATTCAGTTCTTCTCGTCTTTATATAATAAATAAATCAGTATAATTTTCCCTTTTAACTCAATCTCAAATAATAATTTTATAAAGAGATGATCAACTTTTAGATTGATACGCGGTTACTAAAAGTTTCATTACCTGTGAAATTTCATTATCGAACAATTAATTTCATCATCAAGCTTTCCTTAATTGTTTAAAATACACATAAATCAACTCTGAAATAAGATTTCAATGAAGACGTTAAGGCTTACAATTAACATTTTCTTGAAATAATCGGACAAGAGTTTCGTAGCACCGTATATGTGACGGAGATTCTGTCATGCATCGCCGTAATATCGCGAGAGCCAAACGAATCACGCGAGTATCGTGCGGCGGTACGTACACGCCATCGCGCAAATATCCGCGGATATATCACGCAAATGCACGTTTACGTGAATAACGCTTCGACATAATTATGTGTGTGCGTGTCGCTCCCCAGACTGCGCACATATTCGCGACACGTGCGTGAGCGCTGTTTCACGCATTAGGTAGCAGCAGTAAATAAAGTCGAACGCGGGAGAAGGAATAATAAAAGATAAGCCCTTATCGGTCAGCTGATATCGGTCGTGCATCTCCGGATATGTTTGAATGCATTGATAATGAGTGTGCTTATACATTCGTAAAAGTGTGTTGGTGTGACGCACGTGCGTCAGTATGTTGCAAAACACGTTCTTTATATTATACACCGCGCGATTACGCGTTAAAAAATCGCATTACTCACGTCGTTCGCACGCACCTTTCATCGAGTCGTTAAATGTAAATTTCTTACGACGATTATTTCTTACGGAAAATCGAAATGATATGTCCTCCTGAAAAAAAGTGTCGAAACATGAATATTTTTTCCTAACGTAATATAGGCACATCCTATGATTTTGATTAGGACAATGTTAAAATATTGGATAAAGAAGAAATTTTAAAAGACTGTTGTTAGAAATAATCTATATATATATATATAAAAAAAGCAAAAACAGGATTTAAACTTACAAAACGATACGTTATCTCTAAACTCGCTATATGTGAATTTATTTAAAAAGACGTAATGCTTCCTTCTTATCATTATTATAACTTATTTTTTTATTATTATAACTTTTTTTTTATCATTGTTGATTTTTGTTTTTATTTGCGACCTTATTTTTATTGACGTGAGTTCGTTTAACTTCTCGTTAATTACTATTATTAGAACTAAAAAGTCTTTCTCTTTGTTATTATTTTCAAATATCTCTTAATAATTTTAATACTGACCGATATTGATTATGTTTTATACAGTAAGTTTTACAATTGAATAATAATGTCGTTTGTCAAAATTCATGGCATGTCCAATTCAACGTTATATGTAAATAACATAAATTTTTTTGAGACGTGACGCGCTTTTTTTCATTATTTGTTTCATTATTTCGCTTAATTAATGAAACAATTTATTTGTATTCTGTAACAAATCAGACAATTTGTACATCATCTCTTAATTTTGGACACATTCTTCAAATATGCGATTTTTTAAATTAATTTTCGAATCTATATACTATACTCTTGAAGACTTTACTTGTTGAAGAGGATCTGAAACGAGGCACGAAATGTATATCTGTATTAATAATAAAGTTATTCCATACACAAACACTGTGTTGACTCGTATAGCTATTATATACACTATTGGATTTAATCTTTTGAGCCCGTGATTATCATTTACTGTGTGAATATTTTTTATTGTGAACAAAACAGATGTTTAACTTGAGAGCCTTATAGAATTTTAGAATAACAAAACTTAATTTTTTTAATTACATTTTTTATTTAGTATAATTTCTAATTAGCTTTAAGTCTATTTAAAAAAATAATAATAATTGACTTCTGTTAATTACTAAGATTAACAAAATTAAAAAACTTCGAAAAGACGTAGCATTCATTTCGTTAAAAGAAAAGGTAAAGAAAATTATTTTACTAATCTGTGCGGAATATCTCGTTCTATCATGTAAAATAGTTAGAAGAGTCGTGATACCTGGGCCACGTAACGTGGTACATTGTTAAGAAACGCCACTGATAGCGAGGAGCGTCGGAGAGTACAAGTTTTTCTTATATAGCAGGGTTGCGGGGTGCAGTTCAGACATGGGAAGTGAGCATTACTGCCTGAGGTGGAACAATCATCAGAGCAACTTGCTGGGTGTGTTCAGTCAACTGCTGGAGTCGGAGTCGCTGGTGGACGTAACACTGGCGTGCACGGAGGGACCGTCGATACGCGCACACAAGGTAGTCCTCTCCGCGTGCTCCAGTTATTTCCAGACCCTGTTCCTCGACCATCCGAACCGTCACCCCATCGTTATCCTAAAGGACGTACGTTTCGCCGAGCTACGTACCCTCGTCGACTTCATGTACAAAGGCGAGGTAAACGTCGAGTACTGCCAGCTATCGGCCCTCCTCAAGACAGCGGAGAGCCTCAAGGTTAAGGGTCTAGCGGACATGACGAACATCAACGCAGCGGTAGCGTCCAGGGAAGAACAGCAACAACAGCAGCAGCAACAGCAACAGCAGCAGCAGCAACAACATACAAGCACCTCCGACACGTCGCGAGAGCATCATCGAGAACGAGAACGAGAACGAGAACGAGATCGAGAGAGTATAAAAGAGACGAGTGGCAAGGAGAGAGAACGAGAATCGAACGTCACCACTGGAGTGTCGGCCGGTGCCAAGGAATGCGAGCAGCAGCAGCAACAGCAGCAGCAGCAACAACAACAACAGCAGCAGCAGCAGCAACAGCAGCAATCCAGCAACATCGTGCAAAGCACCCCTAGCGAAACCGCGGAGGCGGTGGACATGACGGATTGTTCACCGTCGCCCGTGGGGCCCGGTAGCCCGTGCCCGGGACCGCTGGCCCTTGACCGACCTAGGAGGGACTCCGAAGATGCGGCTAGTCTCGAAGAAACGAGGGCCGGCTCTCTCAGCCCGATCTCGGTGCACAGCGGACCATCCGACATGAGCCTCAGCAACAACACCGGTGGCGCGCCCGGTGGCGTGCTGCCGTTGAATCTACCGCAGAGCCGGCTTCCGTCCCCGCACAGTACCGAGCCCCTCGCCGGCCCGTCGGGCTTACCCCCAGTTCAACAAGTTCCGCTAGTAAGTAGCAATAAGATTAATCTTTGAGAGGAAATTCAATCCTAATCCGAGCAAGTAGGATTCAAGTCGAACACGGAAGCTTAGCTGACGTAATATTTACTCTTGATATGTAACAAAAAGAGAGAGAGTGGAACTTAAAAAGTTTAAAAGTTATCAAATCATTTATATTGAATGGTTATATATTAACTCACAAATGTCATATATTTGTATGAAAACTTTAATATGTTTGCATATTTATGTTAAATCCTATACTTACAATTAGATGCATTAGAAAAGAGTTTGTTCAGCTCCGAGTATCGATAAATTGCCAATTAATTATTATGTCGATATAAATCGAACTTAAAATTTAAATCCACCAAAAAATCTACAAAGTTTTACGTAAATTGAACATTTACGTTGGCGATTATGAAATATGTTTGAAAAAAATATTGATGTACCGATGAAACTTTGTTGCCACAAGGGTTTTCTTCTACGAAGCTTAAATTTTCCTATATAGAAAATAATATTATTATGGAAGTTTTTGTACTTGAATCAAGTCACTCATTTGTCAAAATCCTGTGATAGCGAGATATCTTTGTTCACGTTTAATGTTGTTGAAACATTGATGATCAATGTCGTAATTATTTTGCAAAAAGAAAATTAACGATAATTTTTCGATAATACTATAACTGTCGATATCGCCGCATGACACGTGATCTCGATATTATTTGTTTATCGTATATTTATTACTTGGATATAAACCGTATGTGCACTTTCCATTACAGTCCTTGAAAAAAGAAATGGACTGGGAAAGGTCGACCGAGGAGCGCAGCGCGAGTAGCGAAATATCCGCAGACTACAGACTCCCGCCAGATCCGGTAAGTGCCCCTTTTTCCGGCGAGCTATATATATACATATATATATTTCCAATTTATTATTGACTACTTTTTATTCTCGTATCCTCTCTTTGCTCTGCATTTCTATATACATATATATATATACATATACTATATATTGATAAACGTCTCGCTCATTCGCAATCGTCGGCAGGACGGATGAGGCGTTGCGGATGAGACGACGATCCACTGCGCCAAGTCCCTTCGAGATGCAACTGCAATTACGCGTTGCAATGCATTATGCTACATCATTATTATGACCGAATCACGGCAGATCATTCGTGACGTGCTACCCGGTATGACGACAGACGCGACTTTCAAGTATCGTCGATGCATATATAAACGTATTTTGCTTTACCCGAAAGTCCGACGGTGCAATTGCATACGCACGTACACGCGCGCACGCACGCGTGTATGTGTATGTGCGTCGAATTCACTTTGCATGTGGGTCTCTTGCATGTGCCCAAGTGCTTTGCTGTTTGCTGCTCTCCCTGCTAATTTGATAGAATTGTCGCGTTATCAACGAAATTGCCGTAATCGTACGGTATCCCGAGGATCATGACTAATGATCTCACAGAAAGCAGGATTCTCGTTCGTTCTTGCGCTTTATTTGTAACGATTTTTATCTGTCCGAGAGTAACCTTACAGTAACCCACTCCTTACGATCGAGTTCTTTCAACATTTTCACGTGAAATACTTTCTAAAACTCTTCACCAGTTGACGCTCTTGCCAATTGTTCGCGTTGACGTGAAAACGTCACTTTAAATGTATCCTCTATGTAACTTCCTTTCGGTAAATTTTTGTAATTTTTAGCCGCAGTTAGATTCGCGCGATATAATGTCAATATTGTTTTTGATGAACGAAGAAAAGAGAGAAGGATAGTGAAAACACACGAAATTATCACGGTGAAGATTTTGATATAATAAAATTTAAAGATTTTACAAAGAGAGGGAGTGTGTAAATTAAACTTGTGATGACAAATGATTTGTTGAATAATTTTTTGTAACAAAATTGAAGACGCTAAATTATAGTCGTGGAATATTCATGAAATACGACGCACATACATATAAACGCAAGTACAATTCTTTACGTACATTTTTCAATTACCAATGTCGCTTAAAAAGATTTTCTTCTCTAAGATTCTTATTTGTGATACGTACACTAAAAAAATATACTAAATTTTAATAAATATTTGTTTAAAATAATACTAATTTAATATTTATTGAATGTAACATATTTACTTGGTACAAGAATTATTAATTTGATTTAATAATTATTTGTTTTTTTTAGTAAATATTTATTTATTGTAAGTGTTAAAATGTGGTATTATTGAAAAAAATATGTATTGAGATTTAGTAAATTTTTTTTCAGTATTAACCGTGTCTTTATCTCGAATTTTCATTTGTATGTCACATATTCATTTAAAAACCTTATCGAAATGTAATAAATAGGAAAAAAACAAGATCGTGCATGTCCATCTACTGTGGCGAATATATTGTCTTCTTTACCGAACTAATCCATCGTCCATTACACCCCTCGTCTTCTCTCTGCTTTCCGATACACAAATATATACACGCATTCTCTGTCTTTCTCTCTGTCTCTCGTCTCTACTCCAAAGTCCAGTTTCTCGTCTTTATCTACTTTAGTCGTTGTCCCGATTTCTAAATGTGGCTATACAGAGAGACGTGAACTTTATTAGACCAAAGCGAATTATACTTGATTTATCCTTATAAATAGAACAGTTTTCTAAAATGATGCTCGAAACATTCGAAAAACGTATTGAAACAACGGGCTAGGTTTCATGCAAAATTTAATTAAAGAATACGAAACTTTCATTTTCAGTTTCACGACTCTGTATCTTCCATTACTTCACGACCCTTCTCTCTACCCCTTCAGTATTCTTTTGCTTGCTACGCGTGCAGCTCGCGCCAAAAGTGTACCACTCGATCGTAAAAGCTCGGCCCCTCTTCCGTCTGTGAATTCCATCTCCAACGTACTTTGAGGGAACCGAAAAAGTGCGCTCAAAGTCTGTCATGAGAGATAGAGAGAGAAAGAGAGAGAGAGAGAGAGAGAGAGAGAGAGAGAAAGAGAGAAACAGAACGAGAGAGAAAGGAAGAGAGAGAGAGAGAAAGAAAGAGAGAAAGAGAGAAAGACGAAAAAAATTGACAAACAAAAGAGACTACGAAAAGCCAAATGAATCCTCTCCCGTCCTGCCAGCCTGTCTTGCTAGCTCACTGTCAAGAAGTTGACCTTCGTTTTTGGCCATGATTGTTTTTTTACTACATTTATATATATATACATAAATATATATACATATATATACACATACGTTATGTATACATCGCATATCGTTTGTACACTGTGATATAAATATCTATATATATTTACATATATATTTTTTGCACAATATATATATATATATTTATAGATATATTTATATATATATATATACATATATTGGCAGATTGTTGACATATTCATTATACCATTTGTTACTTTGTAATATCTGTATTTCAATTTGTCGTTTTGGTTGAGTGCAATGCCTTTTGCTACGGCGAATAAATTTTGCGGCGCGGCATAAACGCTGCGAGTACGATAAAAGGGAGGAGGGACGAGAAGGGCGGGTTGAGAACGAGGCTGTGGGGGTTGTCATGGGCCCGTATACATATATATCTGTTGCTATATTATATCTACGTATATATATTTATCTATTTATTTATATATATGCAAGATGTCTCCCTCGAAACTATTGCCGCTCGTTTTGTCTATAGATTTCTTGATCAATTTGGAGTCAATCTCTTTCCTTAAAATTAATTTTATATATATATGTCATGTTTCATTTAGCAAGCTTAGTGTAATTAATTTTAAACGTCTTTGTAAGCTAGCCTCATAATCAGATTATAGCACAGTTTATTTGAAATTAATTAACAAATCATCTTTTGCTACTTATTTGCTAAGATTTACTTTATCGTAAATTTTTCGCTTTTGTTTAAAATAATTTACATGAATAATTAATTTATCTACTTGTAATTATTTCTGCTTACATCTCCGAATTGATCAAAAAATTCGTATGTAGAAGGAATGGCGATAACTCGAGGACACTCTGTATACATATATATATTTATACATCGTAACACACTCAAATAGTTTCTCATACATGTGCCTGGGGTGCGCGGCGCGCCAAACAAAAATGAGCGTCAACTTCTTGTGAATACCGTCTTGTGTGCTACCGAGAAGCCGTTAGCTTCTCACCACGCCGGAGACACTTTCTCCTCCGAATGAATGAAATTTATGAATTAGAATATTGAAGGAAAGAAAGAGAGAGAGAGAGAGAGAATAGAGAGACAGAGAAAGAGAGAAAGAGAGAGAGAGAGGACCTCTTTTAGTCGCAACACGTGCTTATAGTAGTGTCAAAAGAACGAGCTTGCCTGTACTTTCTTTATTTCTTTTTTTTTTTTTATCGAAAACTTAGATGCATTAGAAAGAATTAGTCGTCAAAGGGAGACAGAAAGCGAAAGAAGGGAGCACGATACGAAGGTCATCTAATAAATTTTTTTTTCTTGTTCGTTCAAGATAACCGTGGCGCTTGTCCGTTTTTGAAACGACGTGCTATGGTATATATATATATTTATATATATGTATATACATGTATGTCGTATATATACATATATATACACATACATATATTTATACAATGGACATATATACATATATGTAACATATGTGTGCATCTGTGTATTCTGCAAATCAAGCAGTGTTGGAAACGTTTTCTCGCGCATTATTGTGGTATACACGATAATATATAGTTAATACAGTTCATAATTTATATATATATATATA